AAAGAGCACTTAATGGTTTTAGTTTGGTATTGTTAAAAACATTTCATTTCCAGCCAGAGTAAAGGTGGCATAACACTTACTACTGCTTCAATATTTAAATCTGAAATACTGGAATTGCTGTGATTTTTCACTTCTTTTACTTCTGCTATTCACATAGTCTGTTCATGTGGATGTAATGGTCTCTTATTTTCTCAAGGAGGCAGAAAGCGTCTCAAATACTATTACAAATACCTGTGATGTGGGGTCAGCTTCTTACAACTGTACATCAAAAGATCTTCCTTCTGATTCACTAGGTAAAATACAGTGGAATTTTTTTGGAGGGGGGGAAAGAATAGAAATTTAGGAATATGAGTGTATATATATTGGTAGATTATGTACTGTGTTACATAGTTTGTAATAGTCTTCTGTACTGTACTACAAAGTAAATATATATAGTTTGTAACCAAATTTTAATGGCTCAACTCAGCAGAAAGAGTAATAATGTAAAAATATTTTGATAGCTTTGCTCCTTTGAGGGGAAGATGGAGGTTTAGTTCTGCAAAGCTAATGTATAAGCTGCTGGAAGCTTGTGGTAGAGGAGGGCAATAGCTTAGAACTTGGGCATATTCTAGTTACAGGTGGCTGCTGAGAAGTGTGAACATTCTTGGGTAAACTCAGTTATGCAGTACTGTGTATCTAATTGTACAGATATAGGCAAACCTCCTCCTTTTAGAAGGTTCTGTGTAGTGCAATAAAAATCTGTCAATGAGTTGTATGATCATTGAACTCTTTCTCTGTTTTGGGTTAGCAGAGGACAACTTTGTTCGACTTGGTTTATGTAGGACTAATATACACCAAAGAACACAAGCATCTGTGTGGATTTCCTTTTGTGAAATTTACAATGAATATGTGTATGACCTATTAAATGTATTATCTACATCAAAAACTCAGAAGCGCAGAGTGTTAAGAATTTGTGAGGATCAAGGAGGAAATTCTTATATTAAAGGTAATGATACTCTTTTATGAACTTGGCAGTTTCCCAGAATTTTTTTGATGATCCAAAGTGCATGTAAAAGGTCTCTTTTCACAGACTTGAAGTGGATTAACATTCAGAGCACTGAAGAAGCCTGCAAAATACTAAAAATAGGAAACAAGAACCGAAGTTTTGCTTGTACTAGAATGAATGAGCAATCAAGTAGGAGGTTTGTTCCTCTAATTATAAGCATACTCTGTCTCTATGCTTTTAAGGGGGGAGGAGGAGGGGAAGGGAGGAGAAAGATTTCTTTGAAATGAGCCACTCTTCAGTAACAGCTTAAGACTTTCCTTAATTATTCTGGTTGTATTATGAATTTTTTTCTGGAAAAAAAGCTAGGAGAGGCTCTATGACCTTAGCAGTAGCTGGACTTGTGTTGCTATTCGTGACTTTGGACAACCAAAAAGATCAAATAACATTCATTTTTGAGTGCTGACAGGGCTATACATCTTGGCGAATGCTAATGGTGCTGAGTGGGAAGGGCTGTGCAAGGATGTTGAAGGAAAAGCTGGATAATCCTTCGTCACTGCCAGTATAACTCCTGGACACCTGGAGCCTGTCAGTTGCGCATGTTAGGAAGGAGTGAGTTGTGCAGTACCTTGGAGTGCTGCTGGATTATCAAGATGCTTTTAGATTGCTGTGTTCTAGCTGAGCTTACTTGGCATCTTAAGAATTAACCTCCTAGCTCTTATTTAGCTAATATAATCATAGTGTTACTAAGCCTGCTTTTTTTCTAAAATGCAAATGTTATGCTGTTCTGTATTAGCTAAATACAGCTGCCATTAAATCTCATGCTGTGATTCCACCCAAATTTCACTCAAGCCTCAAGTAGTTCAAAAAAGAACTGTGTTTTTTCTCCAGAGTTCTGTGCCTAGAACGTCCTCTTTTTTGCTCCAGAGAATATGCTGACTTCCACTTAGCTTGTTTCTAAATTGTGGTTTTGTTTGGGTGGGGTTTTTAGGGGGTTTTTTGTTTGGTTGGTTTTTTTTTAGGAACCTTATTCTTAAATTGTGGGTTGGTGCTGAGAAGTAAAGCACTGCTTTAAATCTATAGGGGAGAAGTTTATCTTCTGTGCTTCCTGATTTACTGGATAAACTGGGAACAGGACACTTCTGTTTCTGGGAGGACTTTCTTTCTGATTTCAGACAGCATATGTCTGCTGCCTTTGTAGCTTGATGTCTGAAACACTAACTGGACTTTTCAAGTGTTACAAATTCAACCTTTCTAGAAAAGAGAATCATTTCAGAACTGAACAAATAACTGTGTATGTTGAAGCAGGCAGAATTACAGAACTTAACCTGTTCCCTCCCCCTGCCCCAAAATTTTCTTTCCAAGAGGTTAATTCTTCAGATTAACTGAGTTCAGATACTGTCTAAGGTTGTATACAAAGTGGCTACCTGAGTACTCATCTTCTAATCAGCAGACTTAAAGAACAAGCCAGTTCACTTCTCCAAAACAGCTTGTAGGCTTCATGTAATATTTCCCCCTTTCCTGTACTGAGAGAAACAGGAAGTCACAAAGTTCATCTTCTATTGCTGCTTTTTGCTACTGAATGAGTACGTTGCAAAGGTAACTAATGTAAATTAGTGAATTAATTCTTGTACTTTCTTCAGCACTGCACTTTCTGTAGCATACAAATTTTAGTTTGCTTTAATGACTGCTTAGTTTTAATAATTGTGGTTATTAAAAAGGTCTTCTTTCCATTCCAGTCACAGTATATTTTCCATCAGGCTACTAAAGCTATCTGATGAGCATCAGCCACGTGTTCTTGGAGTTTCAGAGTAAGTGAATGCTTCCACTGATTACCAGAATCTAAATGTTTTAGAAAAGTTGATAAGGTTTAACTATGATAAACTGGTGAACTTTCAGTAAATCCTGTGAGAGCTGAGAAGGTTTTATTCTGTTAAGGTTCGGCTGAAGGAGCAGGTTAAAACTCTCACTAATACATAATTGTAAGACAGTATACATATATTTCCCCCATAGTGGGGAGATGGGGACAGAGTAGTACTATGTAATACCACACTATGTATTCCAGTAATCAGAATTAAAGTGGCTGGCTAATAGATGCCAATCTCTGAGGTCGGAGCACAGCAGCTAGTGCTGGAGACCCAAAGTGCAAGCTATGCCAGTGTATCTTTTACTTCAAGTAGAGTTTGAGTTGAATGTTTGTGGCAGCGCATTTGATGTATTCCTGGAATGCAGATTCAAATCTGTCATCCAAAAAAAATGCTCTGAGACTATTCCATGGGACAGTCTACAGTAAGAAGGGACTGTCAGGCAATTTGCTTAAAAACTGTTCTCCTGATCTAAAATGCTAATGTAGGTGCACAATGTGAGAGCAGAGTTAAGTCTTTGTGCCTCTGTTCTTTTGTGATTTAGAGGAAGTGGCTTAGAGCTGCATTAAGTCATTTAGATTGCTTTTTTGTTTCTTTTTTTCTCTGAGCAATTGTCCATTTAGCTTGATAAGGAAAAATGAGGACAGTTGTCCGATTGTTTTAGTTCAGTCATAGCTCCTACTGACTTCTCTCTTGTCTCTGCTAGGCAGAGTTGGTAATAAATATACCTCACTGTGAGATAACACCCTTTTAATGTCAGACATTACGGTGATGAATAATCTAAGGAAAGATAACTTGAGGAAATGTCTGCATCTCTATTCCTTGCTGTTCTGTGTCTTGGTATATTCCCCTGGCAAAGCTTACAGCAGCTGTTAGATGAATGGCAGAGTTTGTGTGTTGCTTAAGGAAGAAAAATGCTCTTCATCTTGTACTGAAAAGGATGAAAATCATAAGATCATAGCCTTTCACAGAATTGAAATATGTGCCTCATTAATATGTATGCTATTAATATGTACTTATTTCAACTCTGTGAAAGGCTGTGATCTTGCAAAGGTGTTATTTTATGTAAATAAATGTATGTACTCATGAGTAATAGTTGGGTTACATAAATTATCTAACTTCCAGAGCTTCTGTATCTCAAGAGCTTTGTTAATATATAGTTAAAGTGATGAAATACCTTAATTATCCAGGATAATTGTCTCTGATTGTAATCTGTTGTACCATGAGAGAATTCAGTGACCTGGGTTTTAGTAGCACATGATTGCTGTAGCCAGACAAAGAGCTGGGAAGGGCTTGTGGCCTCTTACTTGCAACCGTCAAGAAATTATTCCGCATCCAAAGGAGGCAGGCTGCAGGGCATGCTACTATCCTGCAGTCCTTTCAGTGCTGGAACTGGTGAAGGTGATGGTTGAAGTGCTTCTGTAGTATAGCCCCACTATGCAAAACTGTTTCAGAAATTCCTCTTTTCTGGCCTGTGTGTACTTACTTTAGGATTGCAACAAATTTTGGTTTCCTAAACTGAATTCTTTATGTAAGAATGCCTACTAAGTTTTAAATGAATGCTACAAGCAGACTTTGAATATGCTGAATAGACTGTCTTAGGAACAGCAATCTTATTCAAGTATCTTTATATTCAATGGGAAGATAGGTTAGTGCTGTTATCCTAAATACTTTGTGCAGTGCCTTCTGGACAAGACATCAGCATTAAAGTACAACTTATTCTGTGATCTAGGTAGACTGAAACACTCATTTACACTTTAGACAGAAAGAAATAACACATGGAGTTCTATTTTCATACTGTTTAGAAATAAGTTTATATGTGTGTTCTGGATAATTCTTTCATGCAGGTTGTCTTTCTGTGACTTGGCTGGATCAGAGAGGTGTAACAAAACACATACGTTTGGAGACAGACTAAAAGAAGCAGGAAATATTAATAATTCTCTTCATATCCTTGGAAAATGCATTGCAGCATTGAAGCAAAATCAAAATCCAAAGTAGGTGACAAGTTTTAAACAATGTGCTACGTTTTGGGTTGAAACCCTAAGCATCCCTTTGTTTCTGCAAGGGGTTCACACAGTCAGAGGAACATGTAAAACTACTAAAATCCTGTAAGCCTTCTTTATTACAGGAGTCACTGGGATGTATGAAATTAACATTCTTTATCTAATACTGTTATTTGTGGAGAATAGACAAGGGCAATTAGAAGCAAATTACTGAACTTCTTTCAGTGCGTGTGTATGAGCAATATACTCTACAGAGCCTCTGTTTTGTCCTCTTCCCCTCCATCTCCAAATTACACAGGTAGATTCCTCAGGCAGTTGACAGATATCCTGTACTTAGCTTTTTACATGTTCCAGTATCTGCTTTCTGATATTAGGGAACTGTTGTGCAGATGCTGTGCTACTTCTGCTTTTTATTTAAGAGTTTGTTGGAGAGCTTATGAGATCCAGGAAAGGCCTTGGTCTTTGATGTGAAATAGCTTAGGTTTAAATATGAGCCTCCTACTGGATTTGCCTCCTGAAAGAGAGAAACAGAGTTAAGCTGAGTTAGTGTTGCACAATTTTACAGCGATTTTTGTTTTACAATTGTATTATTTTTTTCTCCATGAGGATGAAGCCAACCTATATTCCATTCAGAGAGAGCAAATTGACTCGTCTGTTTCAGCCATTCTTTTGTGGAAAAGGCAAAGCTTGTATGATTGTAAACATTAATCAGCATGCTTCCACGTATGATGAAACACTACATGTCATGAAATTTTCAGCTATAGCCAAACAGGTAAGAGTACATCTACTTTCTCTGATATTCTGCATTCGGTGTTACTGTTGGCTTCTGAAATGATCAGGTTGCATGGACTTGAGTGTGATTAGGACCTTTGATGCATCATACTAATTTCTCTGCATGTGGCTTCTCTCTAAAAGACTTCCAGTAGTATTGCCCACCCTCAAACTTATTTGTGGTAAGAAGTTAAGATAGCTGCAGCTGTCTGTGGCTTGTTCAGTTCTATATCACAGACATTCTGTGTGAAAAGTCGTCAGGACACTTTCAGATATGACTGGTTATACCATGTTCCTGAGCAAAGGCGAGGTTTCAATTTGAACTTTGGATGAATTGTTTAACCTATGTGCAGTTAAGCATCTGTTGCACGAGATGACAGTTGATCAAAACTTGGACAGCAGTCGTTGTAGTAAAAGAAGTAGCCTCTTTCTTTTGTAATCCAAATGAGACTTCCTGTGCCTGTGTTGCTCCTATTTGGCTAGACGGAATTAGGAACAAACAAAAAGGGAAGCCTTTTTATTGGTAAGTTAATGCTTGAAGGTAGTGTTTCTGTCTCCTTTGAAGGCAAATAACTCTGCTGAATCTATATGCTTTCATGCTTTTTCTGCTAGTTCTGCTTGTCAGCTTCCCATTAAATTCAGGGCTTGGGACTGATGTTTTCTCCTCGGTTAATTCAGCTTCCCAGGAAGCTGCTTCTTGCAGGGAGTGGGATGTTGGACTATACTGTGTTTCATGGCAGAAATAAAGTCCATTTCTAGTCTGGAACCATGGATTAGTCCTGACTTGTTCCAAGCCCGTAATGGCATGTCTAACGTCATCTCAAAGACAGAGATTTTTTTTTTTAATTCTCTTTGGCTGCAAGTTTCAACATAATACAAGAGTGTGCACTGAGGAGACAAGCTTCTATGATATGTTGTCCTTTGACATACGTACTTAAAATCTTTGTTAGATCTTTCTAGGCAAGCATGCTAAGTTTGTTAGTAGATACTCTTTACCATTTTCACTTTGTTAGAGTACCAAAGTCTTCTATTCATATTGATGGATGTTTTTGTCTGCTAAAAGGCATGTAAAATTCTGTTAATGTTCTTGTAAATATAGTGTAAATACAACAATGCATTCGTGCCACTTATTCTAGTATTTTGATACCTACAATACTGGCAGCACTGATCAATCAGTATGCTCAACTCTGGATTTTCCAGGTAATCCAGACGGTCCTACCCAAAAGTTTTGGCTATTTTCCACCCAAGTTAGTTGGAGGCGATGGCAAACCTCTCATGCACTTTGATGCTAGCACATCTGTAGATGACTTTCCTGACAGTACTGAAACCTCCACAGAAGAGGAAGTGGATATCACTATTCTGAGTCATGAGGTAGGTACATGTCTACTCAAAACTGTGCCCAAGAAAGCCATTGCTATTATTTCTAGTAATATATTTATTTTTATTTTTTTTTTACCACAAGCGATGTGCTGGAAGCTGTATCAAATGAGAACTGTAAGCTTCTGCTCAGTGTCGGGCTGACCTAGACTTAAAGTGATTTAGCTCTGTGCCACCAAGTGTAGTTGTGGAAGGCTGCCTGCGGCTTTCTAGTTAGGTCAAGTGCTAAATTTGGAATTCAACTGACTGCTCAATGAGAAGAGTATGGAAGTAATGTGTGTTTAAAACAACACTATTTAGTCATTTGTGCTCTCTTGGGAACAGCAGGAACAAGTTAAGATGCAGCATTTTAAAAACAAAGCTATACGATCTAATAGCAATAAACTGTAAAAGTCAAGTACGCTTTATGTGAGGCGGTTGCACAAATTAATATTTAAACGCTGAAACAGTAGTAAACTCTTTGACAGCAAAAGCCACCAAGATGAAGAAAGGTTGTCTCTGCAGTAGAAATTAATGTTTGAAAATATTTAAGCTTTGGGGCCCCCCCCCCCCCCCCCCCCCCCGAATATATAGGCTTGTAGAAATACCCTCTGTGGGTGAACGTCTGTATGAATATTATGAATATTTTGTTTGACATGCATATCAATGTGTTTCTAGCTAGTATTCTGAACTGAAATATGTTAAATTTAGGATCTCTTGAAAACTGCAGAGAATCTAAAGGAGAAGCTAGTTGCAGAAAGGCAAAGTAAACTCCTTTTGGAGGTGAAGATACGTAGAGAGATGGCAGAAGCAATGTTCCGACAGCTGCTGGAAATGGAGGAAGCCTGGAGGCAAGTTGTATTGCAGTCCTCTTCGTGACTGAAAGGATTCCACATACATAAATCCCTACATTTATATATTTTTATATATATATATAAAAATACATATAAA